CTGTATATAAATATAATATTATAATATATTATATATACATACATACAAAAATAACAATACAGGACTTTTAAAAGCCTTGTAATTGGAATGAGTACAATTTTAGATATTTATATAATTATATATAATACATATATATATATAAATATATATGTGTGTGTGTGTGTGTGTGTGTGTTGTTGTGTGTGTGTGTGTGTGTGTGTGTGTGTGTGTGTATACAATATAGAGTGTAGACTGTAGACTGTAGAAGTGTAGTAGTGTATTGACTCTTGAGTTTCGACTTTCGTTAAATTCGAGGTCTCGTATGTATGTACGTTATTTTAATTTTTTGTTTTGAAACAAAACATAACACAAAACAAATAAAAAAAGTACTTTTTGTTTAAAAAAAGAAGTAGACTATCGTTGATTGACTCACGTGTTGCTTGACATTATATTCATTTTTGCTACCTCTCATTAGTCATTTAGGCACTTCGTTGCTCTGAATATTTATTTATATATATCCCCGGTTAAAAATCTGATGAGATAGAGACTTATTTACTCTTTAATCTTGTGATTAATATTTCCCTGGTCGCCATTAGCATTATTACCGTTGGTGTCTCGACAGTTTAGCAGTTTATTTATCTTCAATTGTGTATTGGTTTTTCTTCCTAAACTTTTTTAAAAAAGTGTTCAGTTGTTCTCAGTTTTCAGGTGTTCACTCTTCAGTGTCGAGTGTTAACCTCATAACGTTAATCATGTTTGATATAAACGTTTTACTTTGAACTTTAAGGGGCTATTTTCCTTTGCGTTGCAACGTTTTTATGTATTGAATTGAGCCCAAAAAAAATCGCTAAAAGCGCCTAAATTGTGCACCTTATGTAAAAATTCTGAGTGTCAAAACATCTCATAATTGTGTTCAATGGCTATGTAGCCGCCGGAGAGAAAGTCAGAAAGTGCATATTATTCTTTTTTGTGTTGTGTGCACAATACTTTGTTATAGTATGTATGAAATAAATTACAGCTGAAATAGTCTATAGGGATAATTCCTAAAGTGTTCAGCATTTACCTATGTACTGTGCGAATATCAGACTCTCAGTGTGCACTGTGCAGTGCATAACTACATATTCTGTGTTAAAATAGGACAAGTATAACATATACTATGATCGATCTAACTGAAGATGTCGAACTGGCCACAATGAACGGCGGTAGTGAGGTATCACTGCACGAGGACAAAAGCTCTCGAGAAGTGAGTGAGCGTGCATTCAACCAGATGCTGCTAGTGGAGAACTCGGCAATAGCAGTAGTTATGTTTTGACGCTACAATATGCCATCAAAGAAAGAAACAACCACGTATTATACTCGTATTCCATATCTGTAACACGCATTGTCTAACTTACGCAGTATATAAATGTCACCTTGAATTTTCAAAAATCCAAACAGCGCGTACAGATAAAAGTATCGTAAAGACCGCGTCTTAATCCAAAACACATTGATTTAGAATGGCGGTCGCGCGTGGCGCACTGTACCGGTCGAACGACAGAACACGAAGCAGCCAACTCTAACTATTTTGTGTCTGTTTTGCGTGCTGTGAACTGGAAAAAAAGAGTATACTTTATGCAACAAAACGCCCGCCATATCTGTGACAGTCTATTGTAAACCCCTATAGAAAGCTATTAGCCAACCGACGTAGTGTCAAAAGTGTCAGGACAGAATTCAACTACATGCTTGACCTGGAATTTGACCCCACTCAAGAAAACTTAACCTCGATATGAAATTAAACGTTCGACGTTTAACTTTTAACGCGATTTATTTTTACGTTGCAACGTAAAACGTTCTTGAGGTTGAGTGTTGACAACAAGTCTGTTGACTCTTTGATATTGACTTTTTTTGGGTCGAAACGTGTCAGTGTGTTTTTAAAAAATACTTTAGGAGGCTATTAATGATATTTGATTCTGTTTGCTCTCATACATACAGTCATACCTCTCTATATGTCTACCTCATTAAGTGTCTACCTCTATATATGTTCACTTTTCATCTTATTTGGGCCGGCCCCTAGAGAGCTGGCCCCCTTTTGGGGCCCTGGAAATCTGGAACTAATATTTCAGAAGCTCTCAGATTAAATTTTTACTCATCACCAATACTTCCTATTGATCCAGCCATGAGTGGGCCACGGGTACAATCTCAGTGAGACTTCATACAATAAGTATTTTAAAGCATACGTATGTGTAGTCTGTCTACACTCTACACACAGTGAATACGCGCCACTAAGACTTCCTTCTTCTTCATGGAGGATACTTCTAGCTTAGGTCGCTGTTGCGTGCAAGGGTGCACGATCACGCAACCGATATCAGGTGTTCACAAATGTACTGGTTGCGATCGTAATATGCATACCTTCTGTGGCGTGCATCGTGGTGAGGGGTTTGGATCGAATTCTATCGGTTACTGCTTGTCTACAGATAACTGCAAGCCACCAAATGCATCAACAGCGAGCCAATCAGACGAATTGACACCACCTGCATCAGCAGTATCACTGTTAGATCAGACAACTTCTGATTCTGATGCAATGCAGGAAGTTGATACGACACAATCTACGTCTAAGCAAGGTGCATCGTCTGGGGTAAATGAAGCGTCAGATACAAGAGTGAAGAGACTGTCTAATACTAATAAAAAGGTGTACAAACAAACTGTGTTTATAAAGGTGCGTGCCCTTCCAGCAAAGAGAGTTAATCTAACAAACGACGAGAAAGGTGTCGTTGTGCGCACTATCAAAATAAGTGGATATGAATTGAGCAAGCCATGGAGTGAGAACCTGACCCAAACATGTCTACCTCTGTATATGTCCAATTTATGGCCCTGGGCGGAACCTGGACATATATAGAGGTATGACTGTAGACTCGTAGTGTCACAACCTCTGTTTTTTTTTTGTACAAGTCTCACAACTGACAACTTGTCGCAGTCTCTCTGCTCTCATCAGTCTCACAGTTACAGTCACAGTCATACGGACCCTCGTTCACAGACAGACGACAGACACAGACACACAGTCCACATGGCACGTAGTCACAGACTCACAGACTCACTCATCGTTGTTTGATGAAATTTCGTCGCCACCCGGTTCCCCACCCCCTCCCTCTGCTAGAGGCTCCCCCAAGTCTACACCCCTCTTATATTAATAGTTACTTTATAGGTAGAGAATTACGGAAGCTAATGTGTAGGGTGACCCTGCTAGCTAAGGTTTGTCTATCTGCTGGGTACATTGGTTACTTGATAGGTGGGTTGGAGTAATACTATTAATGCATGAGTTCTTTCAACTCAAGCAATTACCAATAGATTGGACGACGACCTCGCTCATACGATCATAAAGTGTAAAAATATGCTTTTTTTAAAAATAAATTTAAAAACGAGGGTTTTTGGTGTTTTTTTTAAAAGAAAACAAAATATTACATGACCATCTACGGATTTACATATTTTTATTACAATACAAGAGTATTTAAAAATATGAGGGAGAACGGACGAGTCCAAATGATCATATATATTCGCAACGCTATTGAGAATTTGTCAAGAATAAAATACTATGGTCTTCAGCTTGTATAAACGATATTACTGACACGGGCACAGCAATCATTTTAAGGCACGTCTCGCTTGCGAAAGCATTATGTCCTATATATCATCACTAGTCTACTGCAGGGTACATGTTATCTGGTTCTTATCTTTCATCGTAATAGTTTTGTTATTATCACAATGGAGCGCCGATTTGTCTACAAGCGAGATTATTAGTGAAACCAGTTGGAGTCGTATCAATACAATCAACGACGGATGGATAGATGCTTGGCCAGATATCGCACCAACAGGCAATTCAGAAGCGGGGGGAGGTGGGAGCTCTGCAAGTGATCCAGTGCAGGAATATGAAAGTCATCCTGAGAGTGGATATAAACAAGATGCGCAAATGAACGCCATCTCTAAAAATGCTATGCTGTATATGGAGCCTCGACGGATCGAGAACGCCATGTATGTCTTAAACAACTTCAATAGTCTCACGCCTATGTCATGGGATCTAGTAATAGTGTGCTCGAGCGAAAACCAAGACTTCATGGAGCAAAAGGCAAACATGCTCCTTGGTACCCGTAAAGTGTATTTTCTAGTAATTTTGCCAGCAATATTTTCTGGTGCAGGCTACAACGCTTTATTCCTAAAATTGGCATTCTGGAATCAAATACCATACGATACTGTATTAGTGTTCCAATCCGACTCGGTGTTGTGTGCGAACTCGCCTTTCCGTATTGAGGATTTTATGAAATATAAGTACATAGGCTGTGCTTTGGGCGAAGCATATGGAGTTGGGTCACATTACGACTGGGCTCCGCATCCATTTTATGGTTCTGGTGGTCTGACAATCCGAAATGTGGAATACCACAAAGCGTGCCTCAAAAATCCAAAGTTAGCATCTTTGCGCGTGGGCCCTTGGGCAGCAGAAGATTTGTTCTTCTCACACTGTGTACATGAGGGGTCGGAGACTGATAGAGCAGAAAATGTGACCGTGATGCAACAGTTCTGCACTCAGCAAGGATTCAAACAACCTAGCTTCGGTATGCACAAATTCTGGGATCAGGGTTATCGATTTGCCCCTTCGCATGTGAGGAAGATGGTAGAACACTGTCCGGAAATTATACCATTGCGAATTCAGGTTATCACAGAACCAGCATGGAATATCACTACCGAACCGACGATCTTTAATCTCACAGCTCATAACGAAGCTAAAGCTAAGCGTAAACTTGAAGAAGCTAAAGCTAAGTTTTCGATCGTTCGGCAGTAGGTGTACTTCGGTGCGTTAATCATTCCGCGAAATTTAGTCCCGAACCCTGTTACACGCTCCCGTCGCAAACTAACCACGCGACCGAGAAGATTTATATCCCGGACCACTATACGTCCACAGACACTAGCGTATGTAAATAATTTAAATATGAAATACTACTAGCGTATGTAAATAATTTAAATATGAAATACTATACCTGCACTGTTTCGCCATCATTTATAAGATTCAGTGTATGACGGAAACAGTATTTTCCTATCATATATACCACTTTCGAATACTTGGATGCAAACCTTGTATACACTTTATAAAAAACATCCTAGAAGCACTCTCGCTCGCGATGAACTCGAATATTCAGTCAGGTTTGCAATTTATACAACTAATAAGTAAGCGCACAATGTTGGCCATTTTTTGAAGGTCAGTCACTGTGTATTTGTTTGGCTTATGCCAAGGTATAAACATACGGAATTAAAGCTCCGAAAAAAAATAGAATTAACAGTTGTCAGTCAAGCTCGTTTTTAGCTGCCAGGACAATCGACAAGTCAATGCTGGCAGTCCAGATGAAAAGTGCGATGTCTCGCCAGCTAAAAAAAAGGTGCTTCCCAGTGAAATCATAGTATTGGCAAAGTAATATGTGTCAGCTTTCTATTATGTATATCGTACAGATCTCATCTATAGAGAACTATACGTGTCCATCACGTGGTCATACACACTCCTATCTTTGTATATCATATCTACATATTATGTTTAAGCGATGCCAGCTCTGGACTACTACTGCTGCAAGGAGCGCCCACCATCTACCGGTATCACCACACCTGTCGTATACTCACCCGCACTCAAGTACAGCACTGTATCTGCAATATCTACCGCATCCCCCAAGCGTTTCATGGGCACCTTGCTAAGAATCACATACTGGTTAGCCGTGCTATGCAACACCGGATCGTCTGTCCAACTGATTGCACCCGGACTCACCGCATTAACCCGCACATGTGGCGCAAGTTCCTGGGCCAGGGCCTTTGTTACCATGATTATAGCGGCTTTAGACACACAGTACACAGAGTGTTCCTTTAAAGGACGCGTGCCGTGGATGTCTGCGATGTTGATGACACTGCCGCGTGTGCGCGTGAGCTCAGGCGCGGCAGCCCGAGCCAGAAAGAACGGCGCTACAACATTGAGGTTCATGGTCTCGTGCCAATGCTTAAGAACTTCGACAGTCTGATAGTCCTCTTCTCCGCACACTGGCATGTTCGCAGTTGCAGCTGTAGTTGATGTCTGGGCATTCGCCTGTAGATGCTTATTTTTAATATCATCAGCCGTGCTGCTCTGCTCACTGTCTGATTCCGTTTCCCCATCTGTGTCCGCGTCAATGTCCGCTTTCTTGTCCGCCAATATCGGGACGGGTGGCGCCAATACCGGCACCAGCGTCTTCTTAAACATCGCAGCACTGTTTACCAACAGATCCAACCGTCCCAGACGCTCCACTACTTCCTTGATCATCTCAGCCGCCTGCGTTGCAAACGTGTCACTGCCAAAGTCTTTGACAATCACTATAGCTGACTTGGCACGTCTTGGGCATGCATTCAGTTGATTGGCGAGTGCTTGAGCATCCAGTACCGAACTGTTCACGTGTATGCACACATCGTAGCCGGCCGCGTGCAGCGTTTTAGTAATGCGTCGGCCTATCTTGCTGGTTCCGCCCGTTACTATAGCAACCTTGCGCCCTGTGTCGCACCTGTAGTCTATCTGGGCACCCCTGCCCGTAGTCACATGCTGAGTGCTTACTGCTGCTTCCGCCTGTGTGCCTGGGGTAGCCAAAGGCCGAACGCGTGGCGAATGAGCCGCAGTGTTATCGTGTTCACGCTGTGTGTGTGCGTGTGCACCATCCGAGTCTTCCTCTTGCTCATATTCATGCAGCTGGGTCGATGCGAGTGCCAGAGAGTTGGCATGGGCGTTGATGTGAGTGTTAGGTGAACTCTGCACAGCCAGTGACAGCCCCTTTAGCTTCCCCTCGGGATCTCCTATGCTCTCTACATTCTCAGTCATGTGATCTGAGGTTTCTGACTGATGTACGGCTCGATCGTTCTCTTCCCCCTTCACTTCCCCTGCAGATGGGGACAATTCGGTCCCATCCTCCTTACTGATTACGTCTGGCACCCGTTTAAAGATGCATGGCCTGTTTGGGCCCTGATCATCTCCGCCCAGAACTTCGCTTAACCCACAGTCAATCTTCGGAAAACCCGTCTCCAAACAACCGGTACCAGCTAACTGCTCAGCAATTTCGCTCAGGGTCACACCTTTGCTACTACTTGTAGTAGATTCCTTTTTCAGACCCCCCTTAGACGCGTGCACACCAGCATCACAGTGTACAAACTCCGGTGCCAGCTCGGCTAATGGGATCATCACATGGGCAAATTCTGTGTCTCCTTTCGCAGGCAAGGACCAGCCCTTGTTGCCCAATCTGTAGGTCACAGGGTAATCTGTCCCATTCCACAATGCGATGTCCAGATCTATAGGTCGAGGTGCGTTCTTGTTCTTGGCGTCCCGGACACGGCCCAAACGTCTCTCAGTGTTGAGCAGGTGCGCTTTGATCGCCGCAGGGTATAGCACCGACTCAATCTTCACCGCAAAGTTGAGAAAATCATCGTCTTTCACTACATCTGATGTGGCCTCTGGGTGTGTGTCTGCGTCTGTGTCACACCTGTTATCTGTACCACCGGTTCCTCTTGTGGGTGCATTGTGCACCGGAGTGGTCTGGTAGACACTGGACACGCCCTTCACCACCATATGAGGATAGGTACAAAGACTCTGAAGTGCCTTTCGAACGTTGGCTCTGGGGTCGATGTTCGAGCCTGCGGCGATATAGTAGGTGAACGGCTTACGGTTTCTCGGATACGTTCCCGTGCTACGGTTTATCACTACCGAACTGTACTCGGCAAAACGTATCGCATGCGGTTTACGTACCTCAACACGCACATGAGCTGCATTCAGCAGCACTATAGCCATGAACCCCACATTCTCGGCCACTGTCTCAATCAGCTTGAATGAATTTCCCTCGACATGTGCAAGTATATCTTTAGCCAATGTGCGCACATTGAAACAGTCGTCTGGGCTATCAGATACGCAGGCAATCGACCCTATGGACACTTGTACGCTCACTTCGAGCGCTTGCAACTTGCCGATCTCATGCACACTGAACCCCACCTGAGTACGGCATCGCAGCCCTTTGACTTCAACGGTGTCGAAATCAACCCCACTCATACTAACTGGCGTGCCTCAAAGACCAACAGAAATACAGTTGAATGGTGAGCAATGTTTTTCTACACAGGATTTGTTCAGTATCTGTATATAGCTGCACTTCACAAGTACCTGTTCGTGTTCAACGCGCGATTCAGGGGCGACCACACTGTGTGGATGTGATGGATGCTATTGGATTGGCGTAGTGTAATTATTTCCTACGAAAATAGCCGTATACTTCTACAACCATTCCCTTGCACGGCTTGAAAAATGTGCCAGTGCTGTGTGTGAGAGTCTGTTTTGGAAGCGAACATGAACTGTCGTGTTATTCTGACTAAGCGGAGCTCTACTACCAAAGGTAATATTGGCAATGCGGCGCTACTACGATCTGACTGTAATACCTGTGCCCAACTGAGCAACTAATAAATATTTTGGTTTTCAATTCAAATACATACACACGCAAATACAGGCCATCAGATGAACAACGCTGTCGTTCATTGAAGCTTGTTTGTATTTGATATACATAATTACATATTTATACATGTTGTTTGGAGTTCATTAGACGGCTCTATCATTTTTATGCTGAATTGCTGATGCGTAATAAAGCCTTATCCGAGTACATCATAAGTACCGAACATTGTAAGGCGTAGTATTCCCCCCCCCCCAAAAAAAAGTAGCCAGCTGTTAATCTGCTTGTTCACGGATATCTCTTTGTGAAATAATAATTACTTGGAACGTTTTCAGAGAGCGTAGATACAGCAGCGATTGTGTATACGAGCACTAGCGGACATCCAGTACCAGTGCACAACAAGGCACAAAGCCCACCACCACTTTAGCTGTAGCTGTAGCTTTGTGCTATGAGTACATTTAACAACATCTGGAGTTGTACTGGATAGATGTGTCGTGGAGTATGAAGTGTTAATTATCGACGACTATAATTCAATACCAATTGGCCGATATGAGTGGTATCGATGCCTCTGTTAGGGTTAATATGGTCGGCGTTGGCCAGGATGGCGACATAGAACTAGACCTACCTTCTGCAATAAAGGTATCGAATCCATTATCCACATTGTTTGCGTGACACTAAACTTTATTTTTGTATTACGACTCGATTAGATGTCTCACTTGTACTACAGTGTACGATTAGTGAACGGCCCTTATTCGTCTTATACATGTTGCCTATTTACGATGACAA